AATCTCGAATATGACAAATTTTCGACAAATGTCATTTTTTACTTACTTTTGTAAAAATGTGAAATTTGAACTATGTTCATTTATGCACCAATCGTCATGAATTTTTGTCGCTCCAATTAAAGTGTCCCTAAACTAAAGTTATGCCGAAAATGTTCTGGCCAAAAAACAAAACCCGGCTTACGTTCAATGATTTTCTTCAATTTAATTCAGTTCGTTCTAAGAACTTATTGTGTTGAAGGTGTCTCCTATTATAAAGAGTATTCAGGTATGGAGTTTTTTCCTAATTTATTCAGAAAAATGATTAAAATATTTACTTCCTTTCGAAATTGACGAGAATTCGAGAATCATTCGCCAAAAATTAAAAAAAAATAATTCTTCGAGGTATAAGTAAAGAATGCTGCATAATAATAATAAATATTTTGATCTTGATGATGGGACATGATCACAATTAAATATTCAAGATGTCATTCAAAACTGTATATAAGAAATTGTATGTGGCAAATAATCTCATTAGATCTGTATTTCTTTTTCTGAATATTAGATCGTCTATTTGAGAATAAACCAAGAATGTTTGATCAAAAGTTGCTTACGATCTTTTCGATCATTTCTGTGGTAAATATATATATTTTTTGATAATTTCAATTATTCTTCATGGATCTTTTTTGCTTTTTATTAGTTCTTCTTTTCAATAAATTATGAATTGAGTTTAATTTTTTATTTCATAATACTATAGACTTTGATTGTGAGCATCGATGGAGCGCCCAAAAAAGTAAGAAATGTGTATTCACTTTGCGAGTATTTTCCAGAGTATTGCTCAGCGCTGCTGCCATCCACAGCATATTAAAATACCTTGCTGAGAATGTGTCGTCCGTCGCATGCGAAGGTACGTAGCAGTTTTTACATCACAGCGAACAACAATACATGCATTGTTCTCTATACAATCGTTTGAATGTTTTGAGTGACATAATCGTGAAGCGAAACAATGCATTCATTCTTGTTCGCTGTGATGTATAAACTGCTAAGTATATTCGCATGCGACGGACGACGTATTCTCAGCAAGATATTTTGATATGCTGTGGATGGCAGCAGCGCTGAGCAATACTCTGGTATTTTCTTTTAATTTTCCGGATTTATATGTTGTAAAATTAGATAAACTAACTGAAATTCATGTGTGTTTGAACTTTTTGTATAAAAGAATAGTCGTGGAAATGTTATATTTTTCATATTTTGTTTGAATCAGTGATTGGAATATATGTGCAAAATACACAACCATATCTGAGGAAGCCGTCAGATCAGCAAATATATCCATCACATTTCGAATCAGTGGTTCGAATAGTCTACTGATACGAAATTGTGTTGCGATAATTGTTTAGTCTAAAAAGATGAAATTTTTTACTTTTCGTTTTGTCGCTTTGCTATTGTTGAACCGACCTAAATTATTGGAATTTGAATTTTAAGTTCTTGTAATGCAGACACATATGTTTTTGAATTTTTTTTTATTTTACACGGCACAAATTCATCGTGTGGATACTTTCACTGACTATCACCAAAACTGCTCAGTACTTTTGATTATTGTCTCAATGCTTTTTGTTTTTCTTACATTTTGAACATTTTAATGTACTAAAATATCAAGTCAATTAAAATGAACAAGGAACATCTTGCTCGATGATATTTTTATAAAAGCTTTCAGTAAAACTATACTTTTACTTGAGTTTGAAAAGTTTTTTTTACCTATTGCATTATTATTATATTTTGTAACATCCAAATCTATGGATTTATTTTTATTCTAATTGCTTATTTTTTATCTACAGATTCTTATTCCAGGTACGACGAACTCATATAAAATTGTTTTGTGTCAGTTGAAAGCTGACTGATCTTGTACAAAAATGACTGAAAATTTATTCAACTGAAATCAATTGAAAGTGGTTTTCATTTACGCTCATTCATACGCTTGTTCGTGGCTTGAATTTAGTTTGCTTTAAATCAATTTAAAACCACTACCGATTTAAGTAGCAACTCCATCAGGCTTAGACCGGGCTTAGAACTTTGTGATCATGTTTGATATTTGCTTTTTTTTAATCAATATGAGAATTTTTGTATTTTGTGTACCAAAAGTAGATCAAATTTTTTAAGCTAACTGACAATAAACAGAGATGATGTATCTTAAATGCGAAAATATACGAATATAGCTATGTATGTTTTGAATTGATTACGGTTGAAAAAATATTCAGTCAGTGTTGGTCAATTATTTAACTGTTATCGATTCAATCTCGATATATAGTCGCTACGCAGTTAGTCAATATTGCAACACAAGGGAAAACACCAATATCAACTCCAATACAAAAGACACAAAAGATATTATCGAATCCAGCGAAGGGGACTTCTACTGGATACAGAAAACAATCAACAGGATACCATAAATCAAGTGATCCGCTGCTTCAAAAAACTATCCTGTCAACGTTGACAAAGCCGAAGGTAAAGATTTGACAGTTTTTTATTAAAAAAAAAACATCAGTCAATAAGATAATGGATTGTTCCCATTCTTCTTTAAGGCTCCAACTTATAAAGCGGCTGTAGTTGAAGTGAATCCGGTTGCTAGAGGTGACACTATCGAAGGTGTAGCCAAAGTTACAAAACAAGTCGTCGATATAATTGAATCAAAAGATTTAAATGGTGTAGATATTGTGGTTTTACCGGAAGGAATTTTGAATACGGCGAATACTGCAATTCCACTGCCAAACAGCACTTTGTACTGCGATGATCCGAATGCTGATGCCGTGTTACGAAAACTTTCATGTGCAGCACAAAAGGCCAAAAAATATGTTGTAATCAATTTATATGCCAATGAAAAAGATGAACATTTTTCTACACATCTCTACAATATGGCGATCGTTTTCGATCGACAAGGCACTGTTATTGCGAAGTAAGTACAAATGATTAGCTTTTTGATCATTCCAATTAATATTCCATTTATCTATAAGGTATCGAAAATATCATTTATTTGGTGAACGTGGTGTTGAGCGCCCAAAAGTGCCGGATCTTACTACGTTTACAACGGATTTTGGTGTGACATTCGGCGTTGCCATTTGCTTTGATTTGATGTTTGCGAATCCAATGGAAACTCTAATCGCTCATGGAATCAAAAATTTTGTTTATCCCACGTATTGGTTTTCCGGTCTACCATATTTATCTTGTATGCACAAAATAATCGAGTTATTATTATTATTCGATGTCACATACTAATATTGTAATTTCAGCTGCTCAATATCAGCAAAGTTGGGCCTATGCGAACAATGTTAACTTATTGGCAGCAAATACGAATGCGCCCAATATCGGATGTTCAGGCAGCGGAATTTATAGTGGACGATCTGGGGCGTTGGAGGTTTTTGTTAGCTTAACACCAGCAACAAAAGTACTAATTGCAGATGTTCCAACGAATGTATCAGCAGATCATTCAGGAAAAATGAAACCAATCAAGAAATTAATGGCAAATGAAAAACTTTCAAAATCTCGATCAATAAGTACACAGGACGTTGCAAACTTTGGACGAGAAGATTTTTCAAAATATTCGATGAAATTTTTGGACTTTTCCAATAATCCCATCCAAACTGGAGAGATTTGTATCGATGACTTTTGCTGTGAATACTCAATTGAAGTCAGCGATCTTGGTCAATTAAAGGGAAAGGTAACAATTATTTTCATATTTGGTTTTACTGTTTTATCGTTTTTATTTTCACATTTTCTAGTCAAGTTATTCGTATGCGATATCCGTGTTTCATGATCTTCGTCATTTCAAAGACAAAAATACTTCAAAAGCCGGTCAAGATGTGTGCAGTCTGATCGCTTGCATCAAGAATTCAAAAGAAAATTGTGGAATAATGATTCCCATTTCGAAAGTACACCATCGATACAATTTCAAAAAAATACAGCTGGAAACCAAACTTCCAAAGACTCACATGAAAGTAATGCCAAGCACACTCTCAACCGATTTGCAACCATTCCAAGCGAACGATTTCGATTTCAAATTGTAAGATGGATATTATAAAGGAAATGCAGCTTTTCATTTAATATTTTTGACTTCAATTTCAGATCGGAAATAAAAGAAGCCAACAAGTATGCAGCTTCATTAAGTTTGAATTCACCAAAACAAGATCTATTCACATTTGCAATTTTTTCGAGAGACTATGACAGAGACTCTGCGTAAAGGATCCAAATATTTATATATTCCATAATAATCAATAAATATTGTCATTGGTTTTTATTTTTTCATGTTTTTTTTCTACTTTGCCATTGAATGAGCACAAGAACAAGTAAATAACAATGAAACCAATTATTTCTAAAAAAAAAAACCTAGTTTAAATATTGTTTCTATTAAATCTAGCTTATACATTTTTTAGTTGTTATATGATTTGGCATGATAAGCATTTATTAATGCCATGGTTGTCGAGAGAATGACCGCTCTCATGTTCAGGGCACTAGGAGTGCTCATAATTTGAAGCCACGTGTGGATACAACTTATCCGTGCGATACTAGTTTTATGCACGGAAATATTAAATTATGACAGATTTTACAATTTATGAAAAGAATATTTGAAAAAATAAGCCCCATCAGAGGTTTTTACCGTCTCTTTTCCTACCATTTAAACACTTATACGTCAAATTATTTCATTTCATGCAAGCAGCACAATTTTCGAGTAAATAATTATGTGGTTAATTTAAATCAAATAAAAATACTATAAAATAATTAATTGGAATTATTATTTCTGTTCAGATTTAAGTAATTTAATTGTTGAATCTATAAATATGGTGAGATTTTAATTCTATTCTAGCACTGACTGAGATGAAAACATCATTTATGCATGAAAACTTAATTACATTGAATGACTTGTTTTTGATATCGTTTTTTCGCGTGCTGAACAAAGAAAATGTCAATGTAAAGTTCATTTCGTGTTTTATATCAATATCATCTGCAACTTGATCAATGTCACTTTTTGAAGAATGCTATTTGAGATGCTGAGAGCAAAAACAGCACGTCGCATCCCACCTCCTTCTCTTGCTGACAGAAGTTCCCGTAAGTGAGAGCAAGAGATGAGATGCGACGTGCTGTTTTTACTCTGAGTCTCTCATTTATTCCCGTGATAATAGTTTCGTCTTATTAAATTCCATCAATTAACTATTGATTTCAAGTGAGAAAACTTATAAAAAAAGAATTGTCGTTTTGAAAAAATTCACTCAATTATTTGTTATTCGTCGTCGAGATGACACCTTTTTGGATTTGCGCTTTACCGTTTTTTCTTTTACTTGAACCAAATTTGGTGAGTAAAAACAAAATTTGTTTGGAATGTGTTTTTTTTTTAATTTATACATAAAATAGTCTCATGCTGCTTGGGATTATTTTTTCGAGCGTATCGACAATAAAAGAAAATCAAGTACCGGTCATGTCATTTTTGATGTTGAAGTCGAACGAATTAATCGCACCGATTTTGCACTTACCGGAAATGTAACATTTCGATCACCATTTAAGCGAATCGTGAACGCATATTTTGTAAGTGAAACTAAATCGTTTTAAATGAAAGTGAATTGATTATTGGAAATTTGAATGTTGCACAAAAAATAAATTTTTAGCATTCGTTGAGCTTCTTCGTAAATCCATCGGAGGAAAATCAGAATGAAAAAGTTCCCATTCATTTTCCACGAATCACTTATTGTGAATTTTCGAGTATTGGCCATCGAAAATATCGCGTAAAGTCATATAAACCACCACTATCTAACTATTTCCACTCGGACGATCCAAGTGAAGATCTTTGTCACGGATTTCAAGCTGATAATGATGTAAGCAAATTTGAACCATTTTTATTCGTTTTAATTTTTTCGTTTCTTTTTATTAGTTGAATTTCTACGTGTATAAATTTGTAATTGATAAATCCGCCGAACCACCATATATTGCGGATGGTTTGTTCAAAGTTGAAACACTGTTTGAACTGGACGATTCAACCACAGCTGGAATAACATTGGTTGTTCGATTGGAAAATGAGCGAGACTATCGAAGAAGACGAATTTAATACATTTTCAAACTATGAAAATTGTCTGGCACCTCTTACATATTGCAAATGAAGAAATTTGAATAAATAAAAGCAGTTGATTTTGAAAACGGCTAAATCGAATCAATTTTATTCTATTTCAACTAGTGATATACATTTGTTCTAATTCATAATAATTTGTAGGCTCATTAAAGTTTTGTTAACGGCCCGTTGCATCTGTCGATTTGATCTTGTCGTCGGCGGCAAAGAACAAAAAGGTTTGTATGCTTAGCGACCGAGAAGTTGTGAACACGCGTACGGAAATTGTTGACTTAATTGGAATAACATGCATTCACACAGGTTCATGTGCACTATGCACACATTACATATGTACGCTACACGCTTGCCACCGCATTTGAATGGGCCCGCAAGGAAATGAACATAGAAACCAGTGTTAGTTCTACATACAGCCTTGTCAGTACATTAGGAAAATAGAATACTATTATAAAACAACAGCTATAATTTGTTGACTCTAACACTGTGTTTAGTTTGACAAACAAACCGAAGAGTATATGTTTTTTTTTCAATGTTTTCTTTTGCACATGTTTGTTGCGGCATAGGGTGAGCCACGCACGCATCTGTCATTATGATTGGTGTTTTCGTTGTTGTTTTTATTTTGTGTTGAAATGTGATGCTGATGACATATTTACAAGAGTGAGACATTTACGTAATTGCTTTCATTAATTTTGATTTTGTCAAACCATTGTTTCAAATGTATGGGTTACGTCATTATTTTCAGGATGTTATCCTTCCACTTTTACACCTCCCGATATCCTTTATTTACTCATGACAGCAATAACAAACAAGTAAGAGACTGTTTATGGAATCCAATAGTTAATAGACGACGATGAGATAATCGAAAAACCAACTGCAACTATATATCTTAAATCAGAGATTGATCAGAACGATACACACTCTGCATGTAATATTCGATACTTGAGTGGGAGTAAGAAGTTTCAACTGCCATGTAATTTCTTTCATTTGGTTAATTATGTTTTGGATTTTTTGGTGTAAACACTCGTCGATTCTGAAGCTCATCAAAATAGATACACACTTTCAATTTTTACCTTTTTTTCCATCGTTTTTGTGCTCTTTATCAGTCGTGAGTTTTCTAAAGTAAAAAGTGTGAAAAAATGTCATTCATGGATTCAAGCTCAACATCACAAAAAAATCGAAACAATCAAATCAATTTCGATTCATCCGCAAGTAATTTCAGTGTTATCAATGAGCCAGTTTCATTGTTGGATGCAAATCATGATCACAGTGCTGGAGACGTGGATTTTGGCATTGATTACAATAAATACTGTAATAATACATACCAATTTCAATATGGTGCAAATGAATTTGGTTACGAATGTGAAAATTCATACGTAATGACCACAATACCAAATCAATCATATAGTGACCTGCATCACAGTGACTACAATTTTAACGTTGAATCACACGAGCTACAAAATCCAAGCGGTAAGTTTTTATTCTAATTTAACAGATTTTCATTTGTTTGTTTTCGAAATCGGTTGTGATTCACCGGTACAGCGCTGTCTGGTGGCATTTTATCGTAGCATATATTTGTGCGTTGTTTGTAACAGCTGTCATTGTTCTGTGTAATATATATACATACATGTCAAAGCAATTGTGATGGAAAAAATTCCACTTTATTAATAAATACGTGCATCCAAAAGCGAGAACAAAAAAAACATATTGCTTGCTATTCAACTATCAATTAGATTGTGTTAAAGTCGACATTGGCATCAGTTGGGAGCGTTTCAATTAGTAAAAATTAATTTTATCTCAACAATATTTGAGTTGAACATATAAGTTTTCTTGAAACGAGAAAACAAAAGAAAATACTCATAGATAAATAAATTGTCAAACGTCTAGATAAAGAATTGTCGACGAAAAAGTTAACCAAAACGAAAACAAAGCAAAATGGTAAAATTATTTGCGTTGAGTGTTTTCCACAAAGGATCCAGCGAAGCCAGATTGTTGAAATCGGCCTATGACTTACAGAGTTTTTCATTTTTCCAACGTGGGTCCGTGCAAGAATTCATTGGGTATGTTTATATATCAAATCAAATGCAATTGAATATGTATTCACATTAAATTGATTTGTTTTTTTTTTTTTGGTTTCAGATTTGCAAGCAAAACAATAGTGGAGCGCACACAATTGGCAACACGTCAATCGGTGAAACAAGATGTTTACATGTGTCATGTGTACGTTCGTGGTGATAGTTTAAGTGCGGTTTTGATAGCCGATCACGAGTATCCACAACGAGTAGCTCACACATTAATCACAAAAGTGTTGGATGATTTTAGTGCAAAAATTCCGGCAGAATTGTGGCCGACCAGCTCCGAATCGGGTATTGATTTTGGCACATTACCAGCATATTTGGCCAAATATCAAGATCCACGCGAAGGCGATGCTCTAACTCGTATTCAAGACGATTTGGATGAAACAAAAATTATTTTGAAAAATACAATCGAAGCGGTACTGGATCGTGGCGAAAAATTAGACGATTTAGTGGAAAAATCACAACAATTATCATTTCAAAGCAAAACATTCTACAAAACGGCCAAAAAGACAAATTCATGTTGTACATTTTTGTAAAATGCGTCATCTACACCATTTTTGATGACAAATGTCAGTGTCTTACACCAATTTCATGGACCCATTTTATTCCATTTTGTGTATGTGCTCAAGTAACACTCCAAAACAAATGATACAAAGATGATATAAAACAAAAACCTAAAACAACAATTTAATTCTAACAATTACCAAAATTGCATGTGTACCGTGTTCAGATCAAAAATCGATTAATTTGTGCTCTTTTACAACTGAATAAAACGAAAAAAGAAATAAACACATCAAACATTATGGAATTATTCGAATTTTCATAAAACAATTTCGAAATTTCACATTTAATTTGAAAGAAGATCAATTTGGGTCCTATGCCAAAATTGCAACGAAAAAAAAAATCTCCAACACTGGTTTGGCTTACCATAAATTTCATAGATTTATTGTGAACATGTACTTTTAACTGTTGCTTTTTGGAAAAATATTTTACAGCTAGGATATACGTTATAAAGGCCAGCATTTTGATAAATCTACATGTAAAAAAAGACAAACAGAACCTATTGATGTATTTGCTTCAGTGAAAGATTAAACATTGATGGCGAAACCTTTCGCACTATAATTTATATAATATAAATGGACTCGTGGAATGAAAACCAACATTCTGAGTGGTTTTAGTTAAGCGACACATAAAAATACCTATTAACTTTGATGAAAGTGATTTTCTTTTTTATATATATAATTTACGTCATCTTTTATGGTAATCATTGTATAATAACTGTTCAAATAAAGATGTTTAATTGATGAAAAAAAAATCTGTTGTACTGACACTACGTCAGTAATGTGGGCTATATGCATATGCACTGCTTCGTTCTGCTATCCATGGTAGAATACGTACTTGTAAGCAAAGCCCGCGGCATTCGACATACGGTGTATAAGAATGACCACTAGTATATGCATTCGAAATCAATATATACTCAGAAACAGAAATTCAAGAGTTGGCGAACTGTAAGCATTTCTGTAAAATGAAAAATAGCCGAGACACACATATTTCGGTTTGTGCTTGTGCTTATGCTTTTAAAAAAACGGAAATTAAATAAATGGCATGTTTTTCAATGATTTTTCAAATCGCTTTAAATTGTCGATTTAAATTGATGGAATAAAAGTTAAATAAAAAAAATACAAAATCTCATTTAATCGTATGATTTCACGGTGCAACTATAAATGAAAAAAACTATAAAAACTATAAACTATATCTGTTGTACAGAAAATGATTATTTTTTTTTCACTTTTATTCAGTCTATGTATTTCAGATAGATATCCATCCGAGATATTTTAGAATATCTGGATATTCAACGCAACTGCACAGCGCCAGAGCTGTGTGCGTCGCAAATAGAATCTACGGTATGTCGCGACGTATATGTGTATCAAGTGCCGCACGTACACAGTCACACTGTGTCTGTATTTTACGTGTAGCGACATACCGTAGATTCTACGTGCGATACACACAGCTCTGGCTCTGTGCAGCTGCGTTAAATATCCAGATATTCTAAAATATCTCGGATGGATATCTATCTGAAATACATAGACTGCTTTTATTCAATAAGTGATATTTTTGTATTTTAAATACTTGCCCCTTCGCAATGTGGTTTTCATTTCTTTTTATTTTCGATTAATTTCGATAATTGCAGTAGACGTTGAACCTGAAGCCAATGAAGAACCAGCGCCTAAATATCGAAAAGAACGTACAGCATTTACAAAGGAACAAATCAAGGAACTCGAAGCAGAATTCGATCAATCTAATTATTTGACACGACTTCGACGCTATGAAATAGCCGTGGCACTCGAATTGACTGAACGTCAAGTAAGCAAAGTTCATTCTATTTTCGAATGATTTTTTTTTTCAACACGACACGTTTTTATATTTTCAGGTGAAAGTTTGGTTTCAAAATCGTCGTATGAAAAATAAACGAATCAATTCACCATAATACAATCAACTTTTTCATGGATGAATTCAATACTCATGGGTGTGTTCCACGTTCAGTTTGAGAAAAAAAAGTCAATCCCTTCAATTGTGTCATTCAGTATATTTATTTTAATGAATCACGATCAATCTGATTAGTAACTTAATACAATTTAGTACAACACATTGTTGTACATTTTATTTTCTTCATTTCAAAGATAAATCTTTTTATAAAAACTAAAAATGTTTTTTTACTCTTTAATATAAAAGACCTACGATTTGCTTAATTATTTCTTTTTGTTTTTCGATTGTTTATTCTTCTTGGGAGCGGAATTTTGCGGTTTGGCGACAACTTTTTGTGTGGCATTTTGAGCGGGTTTTGCCTTTTTATTTGGCTTCGCTTTGACTGGTTCGGGTGTTGGAGCAGTCACAAAATTCGTTCGCACCTTCTTCTTCGGTGTTTTTAATTCATTGCTAACGTCATTGGAAGCTGCTTTCTTTTTCGACTTCAATGTTTTCACGGTGGTTACTTCTGTTGTTTGCGCCTTTTTATTTGGCTTCGCTGTCACTGGTTCGGGTGTTGGAGCAGTCACAAAATTCTTTCGCACCTTTTTCTTTGGTGTTTCGAGTTCGTTACTAAGTTTAGTGGTGGCCGATTTCTTTTTCGATTTCAGTGTTTTTGCGGTGGCCGTTTCCATCGATTTCGATTTTTTCTTCGCTGGAACTGGTTCAGGCGTTGGTGGAGCGACGATATTTTTTCGAACCTTTACAGCCTTCTCAACTTTTTCTGTTTTTACTGCTTTTTCTGATTTCTCTGTTTTTATCGCCTTTTCGACTTTCACCGCCTTTTCAACTTTGGCTGCCTTTTCAACTTTAACTCCCTTTTCGATTTTAAGTGCTTTTTTGACTTTCACTCCTTTTTCAGATGTTTCCTCCTTTTTCACAGGTGTATACAGTTGAGTGCTGAGGTCAACATTGATTCCAGCCTTGGCTAATTTCTTTTCTAAAAATTGTAATCTACAAAAAGAAAAATACAGAAAATTATGGATACACATGCAAGAACTACACGATATCAAAGTGATAAAATTGTAGTAAACATAATATCAACTAACTTGTATTTGCTGCGTTCAGCCCGATTTTCAATTGCTTCGGCTGAAGGGCGCTTATTGTAATTTTTCACCGCTTTTGCTGCCCGAATTGTTGTTGGTGTTACGAGTTTGACTTTGCCATGTTTTTGTTTGACAAATCGTACTGGCTGTTTGAAATAATCATGATCTTGGGCTTCTGGGGGAATATAAGCAGTTTTCAATCGTTGACGGAACATCAAATAACCATCCATTGCTTCGGCTGTCACTTTGGCAACTTCCGGATACTTAAATTCGAGATATGCATATCCTTTGCTACCTCCCGTCCGTTCTGACCGGGCCAAACGTAAACGTGTCACTTCACCATATTGAGAGAAATATTTCTTCAATTGCTTCTCAAAGAAACCTTTCGGCAGATTCTTAATGAGCAACACACCACGGTTTAATCGCAACGGATCAAATTGATGCTTTGCCTTTTGTTTCTTCACAACTGGCGCTCGACTCAACTAAAACACAAATGATATAAATAAGAAAATATTCAAGGCATTTTTTTTTTCGCCAAATATATGAAAATATCAATCTAACCTTCTCCGAAATGGCTTTGGTCGATTTCAACTTTGCTAACTTTTTAGCCGCAAGAATTTCAGCAGTTTTTTGAATCTTTTTCAATGATTGCTTTTTTGGCTTTTTCACAGCATCGTCTGACTTTGATGCTGCAGCTTTTGCAGATTTTTTCGCAACGGCTGGCATAATTATTATAATTATTTTCTCAGTAAATACGTTCTATTGAAATTGTGTGCCGTCCAAAATAAACTACTTTATTTCTAAACACGTGCAACAGTAAGCAACACGGACTGTCAATACGATGTTTTGTGTCTAGCGTGAAGTTGGCTGTGAGTTAAACAACATGTGTTTTACGAACATTTTTTTTTGTATTTTAATAAAAAAAATTATAAACAAAATGAAAATATCTATTTATTTGATAGGAAATACACATTTTGAATAAATGTGTCAAAAATATTGCGAACACGTGTTATAGTAATGAATTTTTACTTATTCACCACATTAAATACAATTTTGTTTGTATTGTTTGAAAATAGCGCCAAACTACGTAAATACTTTTAATTTTGACAGAAACCGGCACAGAATTGTTTTCAGTCGCAACTGAAATACGGTGACAGATAACCGAGTGGATATTAGTTACTTTTTTGTTACTCTTAGTTTTAGGATTGATTACAACATGACTTACTATTTGGAAAATAGTTCAGTAAGTAATTTTCTGCGAATATCTTTGAAAAATACATCGTTCAATATATTTACAATGAAATTTGACGAATGAAAAACGAATTTTTCTGAAAATAGCTATGTTTAAACGAGTGCCTCAATTATCCGCTGAGCACAAGATGCAATGAAATGGCGCGATTGATTGACTGTGGCAGCATTAAGGATTTACATGATTTTTTCCCAGTATTGGTCAAATCAATCTTCGGATTTCCAGGTGAGAATAATAAAAAAAAAATGTTTTTTTTTAATCGAAACACAAAGTGAATCATCAGATATTGTCACATATAGTACAATGTTCAAATGTTAAGTGAATGAACCATTTATGCATGTTTTTATTTCGATTGTGATGCTTATAGGATGGGGACTGCGTACAATAACAAGAGAAACAGCGCCAATGGAGTTTGAATATGTGTATAGTTTCTTTGGTCCGCTAGGGCCGATGTTTCGCTTATGTTACCGCTTACTGTCTGAGCCGTTTAAATTCGATGTGCCAATTGAAACGTTGCCACCAAAAACAATTCAAATGCTGAACAACGGACGTTATTCCGTATTCTATTCAGATATATTGAACATAGATCCGTATCGTCGTCAAGTTGCATCGCTACAATTGAACGCTTTCGATTACTTTATTTTACATTTTGCATTACATGGAATGGCACCGTTGCATAAACAATTTCCTGCCGCACTGACTGTACACAATGATCATCTGAAAACCGTTTATTATTTTTTGACCGCTGATTTTCTATGTACATTTTTGCCAACCGATCCAAATGCTGAGGTGCAACCATCGAATGTATATTGTTCGGTGAAATCAGCAGCATCGGTGACAATGTCACCGATTGTACCAATGCGACGAACAAAATACCTTTCACGTAATGTTATTTCACATAATTTCACATCAAATGCAACAAACATACGAGCAACCGAACCGTCGAGATCATCATATTGGCGCACCGAAAGTGTTTTGCATTTATTTATCGACACTTGGTTGCGTTATGATATAGACGGTATTGCAGATTTACCGAGCAGTGAATTTATTCAAGTTGTACGTGTGTTGGTCAAACAGTTGCATTCATTTGCAAATTCAGCTGATATCGATGTAACACCGATGGCATCACTTCGTTCACTTGCACAACCAATGATGAATGCACAAATCAACACACTTATTCTTGGCATCATACAACGTTGGCCATTAGATAGTTCATTCCTTGTGGTTTTGGAATTGTGGCTGAGTTACATACAACCGTGGCGATACACATTGAATCGACACAATCGAATTGAGGATCCGCAAATGCAAATTGCGATACCACAAAAATTTGAAAAATTTATCATGGAAAATGCCGCATCATATACACAAATTTACATTCAACTATTGCCACGATTTGAACGGCTTGATTTTACATCACCGAAAAATGTCACCATTTTATATCGGCTGGCAAGAGTTTTTAGTCAATCAAATTTGACACAAATACTGAGAATGCATGACCGTCGATTGCTCAGCGAACATTTGTCATTGTCACCGAGAAAATCAAATTTATTCCAAAATATCTCATCGCACAACAATCATTCGCCACCAAGTCCATCGTCACCCACACGAACTTCACAAGATGTAACCGACTGTTTTGATACATCCCCCAATTCAACAGCATCGACATACTTTTCACAACGCACCGATGTTAATTATTTACATGAAGATGACACATACATTTGTCTGTTTGGATCAACAGAACGACAACGCATTATCATTTCCAAATTGGAACAATTCAAAAATAAACTGTTCGAATCGTATGAATGTGCCAATCAAATGATTAACCAATTGGAAGCCTCAGTGCAGAAAAGATACAATGGCTTCTTTGGCTACATAAAATGGTATTTGACAAACGATGAAGAAGCCGAACACAATCAAAGCTTAAATGATGCACGCAAAATATCTGAAGTACTTGAATTCGTTATTCGATCATTTTCAATTATATTTGAGGTAAATATCCAAATTCAATATCGAATTATTTGAATATCTTATGTATGATTTCTCATAAATAGGAGGAGCTGCCAAACTTTTTGGCCGAGTTCACTGAAATCCAACAACGTTCCAGGGAAAATATTGTACCGAATTCAATATTTGAAGACACAAACATGTCAGATAGTTTAAACTTGAGTCATCAGACATCGCCAGCAATGGTATATTTTCTTTTTGATCAAATTTAACAAAATAAATTGTATTAGACATTTAAAAAATTCAATTTTAACACTTTTTAGATGATGCCACGCATTCGAAAAGTACAATACACCGGAGATCCACTAACATTGCCTGCTCGCAATAATGAGATCGAATTCTTAGTTCGATTATTTTACAGACTGTCGTGCAGCCTAAATGAAACGGTATAGAAAATTTATATATTCATAATGTGCTTTGAGATGGAAGGATTAAAGTTACTTAATGTTTTCTGTCTTCAAATTTCTAGTACGCAGTTGAAATTGAGCAGCTATATCGACGGCAAAATTTCGTAGGTCAAATAGCTCGTCGTATTTTAGAATCACCACGCATTGTACAGACTTTTGAAAAATCACATGGATCCAGTGAATTGGTGGAACGGCATCTCAGACCGCGTATCAACTTACGTTGGTTGGCATCATACCGTACGATTATCATTATAATGTTATCATTTTTAGTAGGGAAATTGCTATTTGGTGGTCCTTTATTTGGTTTTTTCGTGTTAATTTTGTTCAAAATTATAATGACCTTCTTATTATCGACTTACGAATTTCTGTTTAAGTCATAGTTTACACAATGAGCGAATTTAATAAAAAAACGGTTTCAAAGTATAATATGAGTTTTAAAGCATATCTCTTTGAACCATTGCAAATGCAATATAAGCGAATGCAAAAAATGTGGCGATTAATTTACATACAACTTATGAGTCTCAAACGAAAATTTAGTTTTCATTGACTTGTTTACGACATTTTGGACTTTGAATTTTCTGGTGAAAAAATGAATCGAATAGTCATCATTACAATACTTAACACAGAATATTTACTACGGTTTTTGAAAAAATCGTTGCAAAGTATTACTTTATCACAACTGACTGTGAAAACGTCAAATTATACGTATAGAAGGTAATGTGCACATTGCGACGCATTTAATTTCAGTAACATTCCATAAACAATAAAGATATCTCTATACACTTCCACTCCCACTTCAAACTACGCATCAAATTTCATCAATATAATTACAAAATGTCAAACAGAAATGAAGATCCTCAATTTGAAACAAAAATAATCGATGCATTTAATGTAGATGAAAATGGTGAATTCAAACAAGGTACTCCAAAATGCAGATATGTTTATAAGAGGTATTATGAAGAAAGAAGGAAACTTGATCTAAACAAAGGCAAGACTGTAGAACGCCGACAAGAAAATTGACTATTTGTTGAAATATGTACAACATAGCATGGACGATTTGAAAACAGATTTTGTTTGTTCTCGCCGTTTACTAATCAAACTAATGAGTGCACCATACGATCAAAAATTCCCATTGATCATTTTGGCAACTAAATTTAAAGGAACGATTTATTTGTGTACTCAAAAGTCGGAAAGAAAACATGGTTATGACTTACAATCTAAAGATAAACAACTCCGATCACAAAAATTCGGCAAAACATTTGAACAATACATCTTAACCGGTAAGTTTTTTAAATATCAAATTATTTTTATGGTAAAAAATTGATGAATTGAATATTTTTAGATGATCTATCAAAGGAACCGTTGCCCGATGCACTCGAAAAATTCAATGACCTCGAAGAATTTTGCTGCATGTTCCAATCCACACTAGATGAGCAACGTGTTTTATATTGTGCTGAAATGGATGCTATTGAAAGTGACGAATTACACGATCTTAACACATACGATCTAAATGAATGCATTTTGTTGAACTTAAATGTAAAGAAGACGGCGAAAATTATAAATACAAGGATATAGAATTGTGTGATTGGTGGTGTCAAAGCTATCTGGCCAAAATTACTGTTGGAATTCGTGACAAAAATGGAATTGTCACCAATTTTAATTGTCGTGATGTTGACGAAATTCCAAAGGGTGTAAGTATTTTTTTTTATTTTCTTAATCAAATGATTATTAATAGATTTAATTATTTCTAGAACAAATTTCTTATTGAGCGAAAATTTAAAAAACTTTGAAGATAATCCATATAGCGTTCATCAATTTGAGCGTGATCTAACAAAATCACCATATATTTCTTTCAAATCTTACAATAGCCCCAATAGAAACCAACTCAGTTTTTTAACAGAAGAATTTATTATTAGTCAATCGCCAAGCCATAAAAGTATTATAGAAGATGTTATCGAATTCGAACCGAGCAAAGAAAAGAAATTAGAAAATTGCCTTTGGTCGAAATTTGCAGAATACGTTGAAAAAATTAGAAAGGAAATAAATCAAAGTAAGTGTATAGTCTATATAGAGGGTATTGAAATGTCGGAAGGAGAAGATCTTCAAAAATATTTTGCTAACATTTGTCACATACTTGATGTAAAATTCAGTCGGGATGATATAAAAGGAATTGTGCGTCCACATGAGGAAATGAATAAAATTAGAGTTGAGCTGAAAAACATTAATATCAAAACAGAGATTTCGAAGAAAAAATTAAAAACAAGAGTGAAACTCTCAGATCTCAACTTTAGATCAATCAATCCAATTTACATATATATAAAGGGTGTTTTTTAAAGAGGTTTAGGACTTTAAATTGGAATAAAACATACATTTGTTTTTATTTTAATCGTGAAAATGGCTGTATTCGGTAGGAATTTTTTTTGATATTTATGTTTTGAAAATGATTTTGGGGCACTTGGTCACCTTGGCCACTTTTTATATAGGCCGATCTAAAAGTCCATTTTTGGGCATTTTTTCGGACATAGCCGGCAATATCTTTCGGACATAGTCGGCAAAAACACCCTTTAGATACAGAAGAAAATGCACATTTAGTAAGCATACGATTAACATTAAAAGATTTAAAGAAAAAAGGAGAAATATATTACTATAATTATACATCTGGTTCATATTGGATGCAAAAATTTAAAAACAGTATTCCAACCTTTATTGGCTGCGTAGAGGATATCCATAGATACTTGAAACAGAAAGCTGATTTCAAACCAAGTTTTGGTGGAAATTCATATATACCATTTTTAGCTTATCCAAATTATTTTCAAAGTATGCACGAAAGATTTACATATTATCAGATTATACTATTTTATATTTTTGTTTACGGTCTCATATATTCATTTTCACCTTTCCTCGCAAATATCTGTATGCCCATAGTATTTCTTTTATTATTTAGTAGTTATCCAATTGTATTACGAGGCTTTGAAAGTTATATGCTAATACCTAGAGTTGATCAGAAGAAAAGAATGGAAAAAATGGAATTTGGATGCGTAATGGATCGGAATGGAAAATGAAATAAAAAAAGTATATACTTTATAGTTAAGTATAGTATATACTTATAGTTTAAAAGCAAAATCAATGACCACAACAACAACATTGCTTAAATTTAAGATTTCATCATAGCAGTAGAAGTGTTGAGATCTTGGTATCATTGTTTCAAACAATGAGATTCCCATTATGAGAATGTTCGCGTAGACGTCCGTGCTTATCGTGAAAAACGCCATCTTCGACCGGTTTACAGTTGGGGCAAACTAGAAAACTGATTGTCACAAACGATGACCAATTTCGATGCGGATTGGTTGCATTGTGCGCATGGATTACACGTTGCAAATTCAACAATTCGTAAACGTACTTGTACCTGTCGTAGAAAATTTGATGATGATGGAGAAAGAGATTAACATTGATTGAAACAACATTTGTTGAAATTGGCTACTTCACATCATTTGTTGGAATCTAAAAATTTTCAAAATCATAACCTTAGTTTTGTTAGTGTTTTAGTATCATCTTTTAAATTTTAGAAAAAAGATAGCTAGTATTTTCGAAGTCTTTGGTTCGTTTTATCTTGGTTTAACGTTTGATTGCAGAAAAAAATATTGCTTTATTCCATTTCGGTTTAGTAGTAAGAACGAGTTTGTCATGAGATCGCCAACTGCTTACGTATCGCTATCGATGAAGAAAATAATTGTATTTTTCCTCATTTTCTTTGTGGCAATTCACTTTATTTTATGGTAACTATCATATAATCTCTGAAGGCATTTGGAATAATAAAAGTAAATTCAATTTAAGGCATGTGAAACAATCATCAACCAAATTCATCGGTAAAAATGTCGATATAAAACCCAGAGAGCGACCGTGGTTCTTCACTAATGGTGGAAAAGTGCTGGCAATTCGAGCAAATTTTTCAGAAAAATTGGGCAGACATGATGCAAAGTTAATGCCGTGGCAAGATCCAGGTGATCGCTTTGAAAATCAATTGATGTTCATTCCGCCAAATTATAATGAGAAAAAGGTGGAGAAAAATAAAACGATTCTATTTTATAATTATCTCGAAAAATGGTGGGAGCTGAAACAGCAATGGCACACTTGGTTTACCAATAAAAAATGCCCAGTCAATCGATGTCGATTCACAGTTGATCGCAACGAAACAAATACAGCCGATTTAATTGTATTTTTATATCAAAAAACAGATCCAAAAATAACTAAACAGCGACATCAAGTCTATGCATTTTTCAGAAATGAGAGTCCGATTCATTGGGCAGGACAATACACAAGTAAAAACTAAGATTTAAAAATTATAATAATGATTTGCGAAAAATATTCGTTTGAATTTCAGAATCAGTCATTTATAACTGGACGATGACATATCGGTAAATGGCTTAAAAATAGAGTTTCTTAATCTTAAACAAAATGGTCAACTCTTAATTTTCAGGCACGACAGTACGATTGCGATACCTTATTCGAAATGGTTATATTTCGATCCTCGAATAAAGCAAATGGAACAGAATCGAAATTATGCTGAAAATAAAACAAAAAAAGTCGCTTGGCTTGTGTCGAATTGTGATGCTCAAAATGATCGCCAGATATATGTACAAAAACTTCAGAAATACATTGATGTATGAATGAAATCTTGATGAAAATACAATTGATAATTAATTTATTTCGATTTCGACAGATTGACATTTATGGTAGATGTGGAACGAAAAAATGTCCCAAAAATTTTTCCGAGTGCCTTAATATGGTGACCAAAGATTATAAATTCTATTTATCATTTGAAAATTCACATTGTATGGATTACATCACTGAAAAAACGTACCAAAACGGTTTGGCTCATGATGTATTGCCCATTGTATTGGGTGCACGTCGTGAAGACTACGAGAGACAGCTTCCATACAATTCATTTATTTATGCGGAAGACTTTGATTCGCCCAAAGATTTGGCCGACTATTTACACAAAGTCGATAAAGATGATGAACTTTATAATTCATATTTTCAGTGGAAAGGAACCGGCGAGATACATAATCCATTTGAGGATCTTTGGTGTCGTGTTTGTGCATTACTACATGATGAATATACCATGAACACTCCACATTGGTACGACGACATAAACAAATGGTTTTTCAACCCGGAAACAATGAGACGTGGATTCTGGCGTGATACATCAGGTTGACATTGTGATGATTCAACTAAAGTTGAATGATACTATCGTATCATCAGATTCTTGTCTAATTTTTTTATTTAAAAAAAATCAATTCACTAAGTGACAAATTGGCGGAAGTTTCATTATTCAAAAATATTCTTGAAAATAAATTGACGAATAAACTGACGAAGAAAAGAATGGAAAAAATGGAAATTAATCAATGCGTAAAGGATCGGAATGGAAAATGAAATTTAAAAAAAGTATATACTTTATAGTTAACCCATATAGAATGTGGACGTAGTTGGCGTTGATTTGACGTTCAGCTACGTTCAAAGTCTGTGTCTATACGTTCTGCACATACATACACTAACACGCAGAGGCGGTCGCATTGTGCTTGTGAGTGTATGCAGTACGTATAGATCTAGGTATAGATACATACATTGAACGTAGCTGAGCGTCGACAAAACGTCGATTACGTCCACGTTCCATATGGAAAGTAAAGTATATACTTATAGTTTAAAAGCAAAATCAATGACCACAACAACAACATTGCTTAAATTTAAGATTTCATTGTAGCAGTAGTAGTGTTGAGATCGCTGATCACTGTGAAATTAATATGCTTACTATTTCTAGTACTTGTTAGCATCTTCCACTACTACGTCTTGGTATCATTGTTTCAAACAATGAGATTTCCATTATGAGAATGTTCGCGTAGACGTCCGTGCTTATATTTTTGATTTTAATTGTTGAAATAATAATGGAGTTGATGCCTGAATGGTCGAAAACAATTTGGCATTGGACGATGATTCAACATGTACAATCTTTTCTTAATCATATTTCTCGCTGCATTTATGTCGCGATTGAATATAACTGATGTTTTCGGTTCCAACTGCTTCTTGTATCTCTTTTTCTTTTGTCTTGGTGATGGATTTGGATTTGCTAACCGGTCGATGGAATGTACATTCGGATTTTTTACATTCTGGATATTTCTTTTTGTAAGTACGATGAATATTGCCTGTCAATTTGGTTTCGATGTCGTTTTCGATGATACCATGGTTTTTTTTTCAATGCTCTGAAATATTTGTTTGCATTGAATTTGGCAATCGGATTTCGACATCGGAACCACTGTCAACCAACCGATTCAATATGAATAGCATATAAAGCGATGCCAATTTGAACATTTTTAAGGATTTCACCACAACTCGTTCAATCAAATCACTCAGACGTTGTTTGTCTGGGAACAACTTTTCATCGCGCAAAAATTGATTCAGTGTCATCACCACGGTGAATTGTTCTAGGTTTTTATTCTTTGTTTCCCCTCATTTTGCTCTCATTTGATTTTGCCGTTTCAATGGCTTTTTTCTCGTTGTCGTTGTAGCTGCTGATGTTGATGTGGCTGCAACTGCCGCTGTCGATGTGGATGGCTGTGGATTGGCATTTGGTGCATTCAGTGGCACTTGATTCACATTTGATGTTGATGTGGATGGTAATGGACTTGGTGATCGAGTCATTTGGCCACTCATTTGATTTACCATGTCCATTCATTGAATCAATCATCTTTTTCCTCTTTGATTGCCCATTGATATGCTAATACTTTTGCTATCTTTTCTCTTAAACTTTTTTTATGATAT